AAAGAAAGAAAGAAAGAAAGAAAGAAAGAAAGAAAGAAAGAAAGAAAGAAAGAAAGTTGTCAGTAAAGTAGGCCTCAGAAGTTTTCTTGGGATATAAAGATAATGGGTGTCCCCAGTCAATCTGTGCTCACCTAGCCATAAAAAGGACAAAGGTTAGCAGGCGGTTCACAGGCCACCTTCCCCGTAGCAGCCATTTTGTGAATGGGCAGGTCTTCCTGGCAGCCATTCTGTTAAGAGCCCCCAAACATGTTCTGAAAACTCCCAAACGTATGAAGGAGCTCTGGGGTGTTGACTCCATTTTCCTTGCTGGGATGACTCTGCTTGGGCCTTGAATGTGATGCTCTTCCTGTTTCTGCCTAGGGGAGCTTTTTGCCCAGGCTCCAATCGATCAATATCCTGGCATTGCAGTGGAGACAGTGAATGATTCAAGCCGGTATTTTGTCATCCGGATTCAGGATGGAAACGGTGAGAAGAATTTATTGTTTCTTCATAGCTGATGTGAATGAATGGAGGTCCCAAGAAAAGGCAGGGGTCTTGCTGGAGGAAAAGGAGGAAGTTGCCAGGGACCCAAGCACGCCTCCAGCTGCCCCTCAGGGGCCTGGTCCAGCATACTGGCTTTCAGCCATCAGGAGTAGCCTAGAAATACCTGTTGGAAGCAAGTTGAACAAAGCATGTTAACATTTGCCTTGCCTTTGGCAGAGCCAAAAATCTGGTGAGGAAAATTATGAATTAAATGTTTATGTTTAAAACGATTATGTGTGAAAGCTCCTCTCTGTCCAGCTTAGCAGGGAATGGGGGGGGGGGTGGCTGCTCAAGGCAGTTGAGGGCCTCAGTGGCATCTGATGAGTTTTCTGAGGGCTGAAGGCAGAGAGTCATTAAAAGAGCAGTAGCGTAGCTAAGGAGGTCCTTGAGGCAATTGTGCAGATATTGGATGTGAAAAGCAAAAAAATGGCACCACCCATTACCAGGTTAGTTGTAACCACCATGTCTCATGAGCCTAAGAAATTATTTTTCTTGGGGTAACCCCTGACAGAGGTTAGCCCTCCTCTTATTGTATAAGGAGGCCTAAGACAGATTTTAACCTCTGAAGAGTAGATGGAAGGCCAGACAAACAAGGTGCTGCGTTGCATTCGTGAAAGGTCGCAGTGAGTTTTCAGGGGCGAGTTGGGATCTTTCCCCACCAGTGGCTCTGCTAACTGTGCCATGCTTTCTTGACCAGGGCGCAGCGCCTTCATCGGCATTGGCTTTGGAGACAGAGGAGACGCCTTTGACTTCAACGTGGCCCTGCAGGACCACTTCAAGTGAGTTTCCCTTGCTGCTCCACCACTTGGTGGGTGAGGAGAGGGATCAGTGAGGGGGAAGAGTGGTCTGCTCTTATGTGCAGCATCTACCCAGGGACATGTCTGTGGAGAGAAAGTTCATTCTCAGCTCTGCAGAAATTGATTTGCCTTTCTTTGAAGTGGGTGTTTTGTTTGTTCTGGTCAACTCAATCCAGATGGGGGTGTTCATTTTCTAGCCTCACAAGCTTCGTTTTCTTAAAAGACAAAAAAGTATGCATGGGTGCACTAGTAAATATTGCAGGATCTCATAGCAAGCCTTTGGTGAGCATGCCTCCCATCAACAGTCCAAACGTTCCCATGGCCAAAGAGAAGGTAAAGGTTTTTGAATCATTCTCACTGGCCAGAGGATAAGATATATAGGTAGTCCTCAACCTATGACCATTTGGTCAGCGACCATTCAAAGTTACGACAGCGCTGAACGAATGGTAGTTACGACCAGTCCTCAGAGTTCTGGCAGTGCCGGCATCCCCGCAGTCATGTGATCACAATCTGGGTGCTTGGCAACCCATTCATGCTTACAACTGGTTGCAGTGCCCCGTGATCAAATGATCACCGTTTGCAACCTTCCTTGACAGCTTCCCCAGAGAGTCAGTGGGGAAGCCAGCAGAGAAGATTGCAAGTTGCTCTGGTAAGTCTGAGAGGATGCCTCTTGCGCACCCTCACACACCCAACCTATACCGCACACGCTCCCTAATCCGTGCTGCGCCTCTTGCACACCCCCTCACGCACTCCCCGACTTGCCACACCTCCCCTGCACAGCCCCTCACTTCCTCCCCCACCTGGCAGCAGCCACTTACCTGTCTGCTAGCCTGGGACTTGCAACTACTGCCAGCTTCCCCACTGACTTTGGTTGTGGGAAGCCAGCAGGAAGTTGCCTCACTTGCCCCACCTTACCGTGGAATTCAGTTAATGACAGCAACCAGGACTGCAGGGATTGCCGTCATTAAGAGATGCTGTGGCGCTTTATGACCGCATTGCTTAGCGATGGAAATTCCAGTCCCAATTGCCATTATAAGTTGACGACTACCTTTACAGCATTTTTGGTTTATTTTCTACTGTACATGGTTTTCACTCTTCTCCGTTTCTGCATCTAACATTTAATTCCTTCACCGCCTCTCGAACCTAGGTGGGTGAAACAAGAGACAGAAATCTCCAAGGAGTCCCAGGAGTTGGACAGCAGGCCCAAGCTCGACCTTGGTTTCAAGGAAGGACAGACCATTAAACTGAACATTGGGGTGAGACTCTCGTGGCCCCTTTCCTGGCTTGCTTGGGGTTCTTGGGGGAGTGCTTCTGAGAGGCCCCTCTTAAGGCTGCCTTCCCCCTTTACAGAATATGCCCACCAAGAAAAGTGGGTCAGCCAAGCCCCGCCCCACCGGATCAGGTGGACTCAGCCTCCTCCCGCCACCGCCGGGGGGCAAAATGGCTTCTCCTCCTGTTCCCCCTCTTCCGTCAACAGCCATCGCTAACCACGTAACTCCACCCCCCGTGCTGAAATCCGGCAGTGCTGGCAACACAGGTAAGGGCTACTTCCCGTAAGAGGATTGCTCCAGGCTGTTCTTGGGATGACCCAAGTTTGGTATAGGCTACAACAAAGACCCTGAGTGACATATCAAAAGCCCTTGAGCTTGAATCTCATGCCTGCCACAGTCTTACTAAATGGGGGTAGGAAGCCCCCGTTCCTCTCTCATGATGAGGACGATGTTTGTATGTAACTTTCAGGGCTGCTGGGAGGCAAGTAGGAGGAAAGGCTGCCTTGCTGATTGGCTCAGAAGGGAGGGAAGCCTGCACCTGCCTTTCCCCTCCCAGGACTTCTTTTCCAGGCGTCCATGTGGGAGGCCACAGTCCAAACAAAGTACTTTGGTGGCATAGTTGGGGGAGCCATGGGCAAGGTTTGGGTGGGGCTGTGCAGCCTGGGAGCTTCAGGTGTGCCCACGTTGCTCATCTCTGTTGCTCTTGGCAAGGATTAAATTTGGACTCTGGGTTGGTAGCATGCATCTGTCAATGTTAAGGAAAGCAGGTGTGCATCCTGATGGGTATCCAGAGGGAAAGCTGTAGTAGAACCTCTCTGAATATTCCTAATGAAGAAATGCCTCCTTTGACCTCCAGATGTCCTACTAGACTTTGATTTGCCATCTCCTGCTTCCAAGGGGCCCACACCTGCCATAGTTCCAACCACTGCAGACCTTTGGGGAGACTTCAGTACTGCACCCAGGTAAGGGGAGGCTGTTAGATGGATACATTACTAAGGAACATACAGACATAATGTATAAATAGACAACAAAGGGTGATCGATGCCCTGGCTCAGTTACACAGCCTCTTAAGAGGCAGCTTGACTGAGATTAATCTGTTTCATTTGTCCAGGTAAACAGACTTTCTTCCTTAAAAGGCAGGAGTCAGGAGTGCAGCTGTCTGCTCTCTGCTAAGCCCTTCCCATAGCCTTGGAGCAGCCCGTTTCTCCTTTCCCTATTTCACCACTGGGATTTTTGCTTGACGATTTTGTTGAAAAGATGGGAGAGGTTTCTCTTGGGGTGGGCAACTCCTCGGGCATCAAAGATTTGTGCCAGCGACTTGACCTTGTCTTTATCCTAATCCTTTCCCACTTTGTCCCCAGCGCAGTTCCCAGCCAGTCTCCTCAGCCGTCGAACTGGGTTCAGTTCTGAAGAAGTGGAATGGAGGAAATGGAAATGGACCAGTGACCAAGGCTGATGGGCCCACTTGGCATGGGAGTTACCTGACATCCTTGGCTCTTTAGTCAAATCCTAATTTCCACACAATCCTCCTGTTATTGTTGGTGTTCTCATTGCATTGACACCCATAGCATTTTATCTCATGCAGCAGAATGGCAAAAGCCTGTTGGGAACTGGTTCAGAATTCTGCCCTCTGGTAGCTTTTTTTTAGCGAGGAAGGACAGCTCAAATCCAGGCTCCTGCTTCTGGTTTGCCCCTAAGGATTGGGAGGGTGGCCAGACGCTGCTTTCCAGCCAGGCTTAGTTTCCTTTCTCTTCTGTGGACCTCTGAGAGCAGTCCTGGCCTTAGCTGTGGCAGCTGGTCTAGTGGCCCAGGGAGCTCTGTGTCCTGGCAGGGCACTAGATTTTTGCATGTGGATGGAAGGCCAAAGCTGCTTCTGTAGAAGTCCTGGAGATCTCTGCTCTCTGTGGGACTGGTTGTTGGTTGGAGTGCCTTTATGGTAGTCCTAATCCAGTTTTTCCTCAAATGTTATTTCTCCCTTCCTCCAAATCAGTAGTCAGGACCTCTGGATCTGATTTCTGATTTGTATTTGGTGAGCACCTGCAATTTCCATGGCTCTCTTCTCCCCAGCTCAGTTCTAGTAAGACCTCCAAAATTGGAAGTAGTGGTAGCATGCAAGAGACTCTCCTGCTCCCATCTTTTATAGATTGCAGCAGCAAATCTTCTAGGATTCTTCTGCCTCCACCAGGGTGCTCACTTCTGAATCCAGTTAGTTGTAACTCCTGCACTTGAGATAGGTTGGCTTGCGTGCACTTAGCAGATGATTTATCCCCATGAGAAGGAGTGCTGTCCACTCATTGATCGAAGGAGCAGGACATTTCATCTCTGCCCCCTGCCAAGAAAGGTTTGACTTCTGAATAGAACTTTCTGGCCAGTATGATTTAGAGCCTGATAATCTGTCCCTGGCAAATATTACTGAATCGTGAAGTCATTTTTGACAGTGTCTCTTCTGTCCGCCCACCTGCCTTGTCTGCCTCCAATCTCTCTTTTTAGGACTTGTGTGGGTTTCCCTTGCCGTAGGCGAGCTAGAATGGCTCTAAAATGCCTGCTTTGCTTGACCCTCTAGTCACAAGACTGTTTTATTGTTGCGCTCTAGATTCGTATGTTTCCCAGTGGGCTCGTGACACCCGTGGGCAGTAATAAATATGCTGTAATATTGGCTCTAGCCTGTACGTGTCCTCAGTGACTCCGTGGTTTGGTGCTTCTACCGTGGGTAGTTTTAAGTGAGTAAGGCACATCCAGGTAGTCCCTTCATGTTTTGTCTCTTTTCAGGTCCCAGTCATCTCTTGATCTCCTTTGCAGGGGAGCAGATAACTGCTCCATTAGTTATCAAGAGGAAACAGTACGGAATTAAATGCACTTTTGAAAAATAAAAATGGGTGCCTACTTAGTAAGGCTATTTGTAACCCCTCCAATTACTGAACTTTTCTCTGTCACCCACAGCCAGCAGCTAGTTACGCTGGGCTGCAGCTCCTGGAAGGCCACAATTCCAGTTACAACTGGGAGTTGTAGCCCAGCTTAGCTGGAAGGTGACAGGTTGGGCACCCTCATTTCACATTCCTTTCACCCTGCAGTGCCCTGTAAGTTTGGCTGAGAGTTTCAGAATCTGGCTGAATCTTCTCTGTCAGTATCTAATCATTTCCATAACCTCATGTTCATACCTCATACAATTACATAACTCCCAAGTTGACTAATCAGGAGGTTGTCCCTCTGTGTGCGTGTTTTCTTACAGCTAGTATTATCTAAATAATATGTATTGTCACGAACAGAAGTAATATTCATCTATATGTATATAAAGTATAAGATGTACTGGTTCAATAACAGCAAATAAAACGAGAATTAAAATTGGGAAAAGCTGTGTATTAAATGAAGCAGTGCTAGTGCATGTCTGTAACCTCCCTGTTTCATCTGGGGGAGATGTGATGGCAGTGTCTTCTCAGGGCGAACCGGAATCCAGCAGGTTCCAGAATTGGGCCAGGCGGTTTCAGTTAATGCGTTGGTCGACTGAGGAAGATAAAAGAGGCCTGTAGGAACAGGCAGCTGGCCAGCCAAGTCAACACACCACATGGACGCTGCCTGGCTTGTCTCCCTTGACTCCCCTGGCAGTTTCTCCGTATAGTTGCGGAACAGGGAGAAGCAGTTGCCCTTTGCAGTAGGGAGGGTAGAGCATAATGCAGCCAGCCAAGCCCATAAGTCCTGTGACTGGCTTGGTTTTTATTTTATTTTCTCCAGCCTAGTCAGCAAAATGACAGGAGCAAGACCCAACTAGGCAAGGGGGTGAGGAAGCAGAGACGGGAGGGTTTGCTTCTGCATTCCTCAAAGGCTGCTCTCCGTTGCTTGATGGCTGATAGGCAAAGTTAAGACTTTTTAAAAAAATCTTTGCTCTGGGGAAGCTGGAGTTCCCATTTGGTGCCTTGTGAGTGTCCCTGTGTCTTGTCTCTTGCAGGCTGGTACAGGCAGGTGCAAGGGTGAGTGCTACGTCCAGGGTGCTTTCCAGAAGGACTGTTAATGCTGCTGAACTGTTCAGGCTGTAAGTTGGTAAAGCCCAAGAGGTGCATGGCTTAGTTTGAGCTTTTGTTGGCGCATTCTTCCTCAAGCACAAAAGCTCAACATCACCCTGCAAACGTGCTGCTGCATTGCTGGCTGCGGCTGGTGGGTTGCTAAAGGCCAAATTGGAGGCTGTTTATCCATTAGGGGCGAGAGAGAAGTTTCCATCTACTAGGCTGCATGTGGGCATTTTTTGCCACTGTTGATGAATTGTGCTCAGCCCATTCATTCCTTCATTCGTTCTACAGTCCACTGCAATCCCAAGGGATTCTAGGTGGCATACGGCATCCACAAAACGAAAACCAAAATCGTAATAAGAAAGCCAGAGTCATCTCTAAACCAAACAATAATCACAAAAAGCAAAGATAAATCCCCTAAACACGCCACAGCTGGTCTCCTGGGAACACATTGAAAGAAAACAGTTTTAACCTGTTCCTGGAACTGCAACAAGGTAGAAGTTGCATGTCTTCTGGGCGAGGAGTAGTCCATAAGTGACAGCCATGACAGGCAACGCCTGCCGTCTCACCACACACTGCAGACCTGCTCACAGCAGAGGGAACATCCAGACCCCCTCAGTGACCAGGCTGGATGAGCAGATTCAGTTCTGGCAAGGCAGTGCTTGATACACTGCACCGGTGAGACATGAGACGGAATGATCAGCACTTTGAATGGGGACCAGAAGCCCCCAGCCGCTAATGCGGCAGTTTCAGTATACTGTAATTCTGTACTGTACTGGTAGGGCAGTCCCAATGTCTGGTGGCTGTATTTTGTACCAGCTTCTGCTTCTAGGTTGTTTCAAAGGCAGCCCTACATAGAGTGCATTGCGGTAGTCTAGTCTAGTGGTGATCAAGGCAGGAGTTATTGAGGTAATCAGTATAAAACATGCTACATTTTGCACTTTTATTGGGCTTCTCTAGCACTTTTGTGTAGGCAAGTGGGGTGTGGGGGGAAGTGTGCTTAAACTACTCTTCCATTGTTTCTCCTGGATTTTTTTTAAATCATACTCTTGGCAATTTGAGGCATTTCATGTATTGTTCCACTGAAACATAAAGCAACTCAGACCATTATGTTGAAAGAGTCTATGTAAGGCTGCTTGTCTGAAAATCAAAACCGAAACTTTTTCTATTTGGTGCTCAACCTAGAGACCACAGAGTTGGATGCAACCCTGACCAGGTCCTCTCCACAGGTTGCCATCAGGCTGTATTAGATGGAAAAAAATATTAGTTACTTGCAAGGTAATAATATGAGCTGTGTTTTTATTAATTTAATATAATTTGAATTAAATTTAAATGACATTTATATTAAAGCTACACTTTGCCCAGGTTCATGACCCAGGACAAAACCTAAATTTTCCTAGGTCTCATCTCTGAATTAGTTCTTCTCAGGTTTTCCTTTTGATCCTGTGATTTGGAGGAAGAAGAGTGAGTTTTAAATATATTGAAAAATAATGAGTTCACATTATATGTAATCCCCTTCACCAACCTGATGGTCGGAAAAGATGCCTCTACCTGAATTTAGTGACTATCACTCAATGCCCTGCACTACTGTCCACTTTTAGGGTGGGGGGAGAGATTTTCCCAAGCCTTAGGAGAGCATATCAGCGGATCAGTGCCTGGAGGAAAAATGCAGGACTGTAGGGAGCATTAACAGGAATTTGGTAGGAGGGTTTAAGGGGTTGAACAAGGGTGATGAAATCTCCATACAGCATTTTTGGCAAGAGTATATAATAGACAATTGCCTTTCTCCAGGATAATTTTTTACTTGACTAGTTGTAGTCCTGGTATTCCCTGGTAGTTTCCCAGCCTAGTACTAACCAACCTGGACATTGCTTAATTTCCAAGTAAGGCTACAAATTCTCCTATATATCAAGAGCTTATATCTGGCTAACCTGAGAGCGTGAAAAGGGAGCGGGAAGAGATGGTGATGCTCTAAGAAGCAAATAGATGTTGAGAAAGAAGGAGCTGCAGTGCTTGTGGCAGGCCTGTCTTCCTGTCTTAAAACCACCCTCTGGGGGAGATGGGGGGCATGTAAATTTAATAAACAAAACAACTGGGCATATCCTCACAGCAAATGCAAGCTTGTAGTGCGGTGGCATCTGCAGGGGAGATCAGTGGTGGTTACGGGGTCACGACCGAAGCCTTTGTAACATGTGCAATGTCCATGTATGTGTCAAAAGGGGCAGAGCTTTGATTGTGAGCCATGACTGTTGTGTTGCTTATTTTGACCTCCCCTGAGCCTCTGCTATTTTACCAGTCCTTAAATAATTTTTTAGAGAACGTATTGAAAGGCCATGCTTAAGTAAATCGGAAAGGATGAAAGGTTCACTTCAAAGAAAGGAGACACTAGAATGGAAACTGATGCGGAAGCCACTCTTCCTAAGAAAGACGGATGAAAGAAAAAACACAGTGAATGAGAGTAACAGCCAGCACCAAAAGCGGTAGGAAAGTTCTGCAGTTTTTG